GGAGCTGCTGGGAGCCTCCCTTTTCTGGCCACTGGTCTCCTGCCTGGAGACCGTGTGTGAGGACTGGGCTGTCCTCCAGCCCTCTCCCTGGGGTTACCTCTTCCTCCTCTGTGGGCCCAGACTGTGGAGGGTGGGTGCTGAGAAGCCCCTTCTGGGAGGCCATGGGGAGGTTGGAGCAGGGGCAGGAGGCTGGCCTGGGACTTGGAGGCAGGGATGCAAGGCCTCCCCCCACCCCCGCCCCACCGTTTGCCAGGGCCGTTTGCCGGGGCCGTTCCATTAACTCACCGGCCTGAGCTTTCCCGCCTTCCAGCTGTGGGCGGCACTCTCCGGGCTGCCTGGGGCCGAGGGTGAGCAGACACCAATTCCTCCGGGGCCCAGCCCTCAGGGTGGAGTGGATGTGTGCCCACCCCCACCCCAGCCAGATGTCTTCAGACATCCTGACCTCAAAACCCAGTCAAGAAGCACAATAAAACACTGTGCTACACTGACGACAAAAAAAATGGCCACTTGTGTGATAAGGAAAAAAGAACCTTCAGAAAATGCGAAGACATACAAGCAAAGTGAACCTGCGCTGCCGCGGAGCTGGGGCCGGAGCCCAGGTCCTTCTCTCCCCAGGCCCCCGTGCCCTCCTGCGACGGGGCCCGGCGTCCCTGTCCTGGTGTCTGGGACTCTGCGATCTGGGCCAGCTTGAAGGAAGGTAAACCAACTAGCGGCAGAAATGTGGGGAATTTTCTTTACCATTTTCATGCGGTCACAGAGCTGGGTGGGGACAGGGTCCAGCCCCTCGCCACCTGCGCAGGAGGGGAAAGGTACAAATCTCGTCATGCAAATGTGCGAATGGCCACAACAGTCGGGGACTGTGAGGCTGTGACTGATAACGGGAAACGTGTATGTGGTCGTCCCTGGTCCTGGCACAGACTGAAATGTCTCAAGTGAAGAGTCTTAAAGGTGCCTTTTTTGTGTTGATGAGTTCACTTTGGAAAGCCCCTAGGTCACCGGGGTCACCACCACGGATGGGGCTGGTTGTCAGGAGAACCAACCACAGGGTTAGAGGGTTGGAACTTTCAGCCCCACGCGAGGACCTCCTGGGAGGGGAGCGGGGCTGGAGGCTGAATCAGTCGTCAATGGCCAATGATTCTAATCAATCATGTCTCTGTAGTGAAGCCTCCACAGACCCCCAAGAGGAAGAGGCGTGGGGAGCCTGTGGGCTGGTGAGCCAGGGTGCTTCCACCTGCAGCTGTGCTGCACCCCAAGCTCCATAGGGACAGAAGCTCCTTCGTTTGGGACTGGTGACCTAACTTAAAATTGAACTTAAAATTGGCGTCTGAAGTGGGGGCAATCTTGTGGGCCAGAGGCCTTAACCTGTGGGAGCTGCTGTTACCCCCAGCTAGGGGGTATTAGAGCAGAGTTGATTTGTAAGCCCCCCAGCTGGCGTGTGGGGGCTGCTTGGTGGTGGAGGGAACCCCTACATGCTGGGATTGGATGTCAGAATACTGAGTGTCAGGGGAACCCCAACTCCATCACCCAGCTTGTACAACTGTCAGAGCAGGCAGGTAGCTAGATCTGAGCAGAGAAAGAGGGCCTGGGCCAAACGGCAGGAAACTGCACATCTTGTGTACAACGGTGCTCTGTGAGAAGACAGAGGAGAGAAGGCACCTCTGGACTGATAAGAAACCACACATTTTGGGGTGACAAGTGTCCCAGAGGC